TTCTAACAATTAACACATATTCTAGAATGTTTATAGGCGCATATAGTAGCAAATTTTCTTATTCTTTGCAGAGATACATTGCAGGTGTTCCTACACAATGAGGGTGACCTGACCTTGACCGTATTATGAATACGCAGTGTCACAAAGTGAACATACATTTACATCGGTATTCGTACCAAAAAATGTGTAACTATGATATATAACTAGCAAGAGGAAAGGGGATTGTTAGTAATGTGGACTCATGACTTACTAGCAATGTACCATGTCAGGTTGACCACCACGCGGCCCCCCCTGGAAACCATCACGATAAATTCTTGGTGAATTTGTCAAGATGGGCTAACTGACCTGACCTTCACGCTCATCTTATCATCGTCCACTGGTGCCGATTCTCAGACCTACTGAATATGCATATAAAATTCATAAATATAAAGCCATTTCGGAGGAGTATGGTAACTAACATTGTGACACGAGAATTTTATATATAGGTAACATATAATGTATCGAATTATGTGTTATTTTCAGAAGTATATAATATACACTTAGTGCTAACTGTGCCTGCATTTATCCATGGTACTTGGTATAGATTACTTTTTTAAATAAATACCATAAAACATTTGTGAAAAATAAATTGGTTCATCTATTGATGGATTTGGATTGATGAACACTTTTTTAGTTTTATCATTTTGTATACCTATGTATTTGCCATTAAAAAAAAAACAAAAATAAGTCTACAAGGTTCTATAACGTTAATACAGTTGCCCGAAAGTATATTTTGTCATATACTTTCTATTTTTATTATCAAGTGATAAGTTTTTATATTTCACAGAATAAAAGTTGTAATGTCTATATTAATATATATTACATGACAGCACAATTTATATAGAATTATAAACAGGATTCCTGGCTTATTTTCTGACACTAAAAACTAAATAAAAAAATAATAATGATATTACATAGATTAAACTAAAACAGAAGAATTGTAATGTGATTAGTCTATTCACTTTCCCGCCAATACTCATTTGACAGCACAGATACAATAAATAAAAACGTACCGGTTTGAATAGATATCGATTACACGATTAGAGAGATTAATTCATTTTACTCGAATTATCGTAATCAATCAACGGACTACAAGAAGGATTTCAGTTTGGCGGTTTCTTGTATATTACAGTTTTCTTTGTTAAAGCCGTAGTAAGTTCAATTGTTATTCTGCGATTTCATATGTATTATTATTATATTATTATTTCAATAAAATACATTTGCCCCAAACAAAAGCGTGAACATATTTTTAGATTTTTTATTATTCATTGATATATACCTAATAATAGCAAAGGTTTTGTTACTCTTTATAAATCCGAGTCCGCGTCATCATTACATCGTTACGTATAATGACGTCATACGAGCCTTATAAATACGCCCCTGGTTGATTTAACACGTGTTTCATACATATAGAGATAGGGATCCAGCCCTACCTTTGGAAGTGTGCCAACGCCGGCTTTATTGAGTCAGGATCCCGGTAATAAATAGCGCGGACACTGTGGACTAGTTTGCTATGGAATTTACAATCTTAATGTAAACTTTATAACAATGATAATAATAACAATAATGCAGTGTCATTTAGTCCTAAGCTAAGCAGAGTTTGTGTTATGGGTACTTGTTCAAAATCTACCCTGTAGCATTGTAAGCACAGATTATATATTAGAGTCCGTTAGTTTGTGTTCCCGCGGTTTCAAACAATTGTTATTAATACTTATGCCCAATTTACATTCAGCCCGAGTAGGCAGGGCAGTGAGCAGCGCGAGAGTGTAAACACGAGTGGAAATTTTCGCATGTCATTGGCGCTGCCACTCGCGCTGCCCGGCGCTCCCTCGATTGTCGGTTTTTCGTGCGCGAGTCAAAGGACTGGCAACGCGAGTGGCAGCGTGTTTTTACATTCAGCCCTCTCGCTCAGTTGTTGCCCGGCAATATTTCCAGCAGCGCGAGTGTCAGGGGAAGCGGCTGAATGTAAACGTAGCATCAGATTTATTGTTGTTGTAAATACATACATATAGTAAACAACCGGGCCGATACAAACAATTGTACTCATGAATATTTGATTATAATGTTGATTCTAATAATAATAATATCTTTACACAATTCACACAACGTCAATTAGTCCCAAGTTAAGCAGAGCTTGTGTTATGGGTACTAAACAACAGTTATAAATACTTAGATATATTTTCGTTGTAAATACATACATAATATATATAGAAAACAACCACACCGATACAAACAAGCATAGTCGTAAATACAAATATTTGATAAGAAATAGAAATAATCTTTATTTAAATAAATTCATTACAAACACTTTTGAATAGTCATATTTTGATTCTACCACTCATTCGGAACGCAGATTCATCACAAGAAGAATGAGTAAGAAACGTATGTGTTGCTCTTTTGAATAAATGTTTTATTTATATAATAATTACAGTATAACAAGAAAGAGGCATGCGATAATCAACATAGAAATCGCTACGCACTCATTATTAGTGTAATCAGATAATATTGTCAGTGCTATGGATTTTAAGTTTTTCTATAAAAACATTATTGTCGTTAACGAATTCTTCAATTTTATAGTATTTTATAGTAAATTTATAATAATAATATTTCTAGACAATTCACACAACGTCCACTATTCCCAAGCTAAGCAGAGTTTGTGTTATAGGTACTAGACAACTGATAGAAATACTTCAATACTTTTTTTTACAAAACACTAGGACTATCGAAAGTAAAGCGGCGTATTAAATAGCTGAACGAATGAGTTTGAAACAAATAAATTGTTCATCCATAAAGGAAAGGCAAAGAGTCTGGGCTGGGCTGGCTGGATGGGCTTACCCATACAGCCGTTGTCTTTGGTATTATTTATATTATAATTCCTGAACCAATGAGTATATAATCATAGAGGCTAAACTTTTTTGCATATATCGGAGGCACAGATACTATTTATATACTGTCATACTTTTATTAAGTCATTTCTTTTAAACAATAATATATAGTTATGTTTATATACTTTGTATCTTTTTCTGAACATTCTGTGTGAGTTTTTTTAAAAAAAAAATTATAACTATCTAAACACACCATCTAAATTATTCATTATTCTCTCGCCGTTCAGGCTATCAAGCTTTATTTAAATTTGTAACTTCTCTTTTACTGTCCTTCTTTTCCATTTTTCTGTTTGTTCTCTATGGTTCTCTCTAAATATTTGTATAATTGTTGTTGTTGTTACTCCTAAAAATTTGCAGTATAAGTTTTTTGCTTGAACTTTGTTTTGTATAGCAAATTGAAAAAGTTTATTATTGACCATGCAATTATGATTTAGTAAACATTGACAAATGCGATATAAAAATATGTAACATATCTTGTATATATTACCAGAAAATAGTTATTGTAAGTGTGCTGAAAGTTTCTTTTAATCATACTATTATATACTAGCTGACCCGGCAAACGTTGTTTTGCCATATAAATAAATAGTGCAATTAAAAAATAGGAGTTGGTGATAGAAGGGTTAAAATTTAGGGTTGTATATATTATTTAATGCCACATAATAAAAAAAATTGTCAAAAAAAAGTGATTTTTTATTGTGAGCCACATTTAACATAATAAAAATTAATATATAAAAATAAGTTATGAATCTCAGATCTACTGAATATACATATGAAAATGTCATCAAAATCGGTCAAGCCGTTTCGAAGGAGTAGGTATAAACAAGAAAAATGTGATGCGAGAATTTTATATATTATATTGGTTTGGTGAAAGTTTTTTTTAATGATTAATAAATTTAGTGTGGGCATTTCGCTATTATAATAAAACAAGTACTTATATTTACATTCTATTGTATCAGATACAAACATGTTGTACACAGGTTGCCTTCTAACGAGTACATCGTGGGCGACCGTCAGGCCCAGACGACAGGCGAGCTCTTCACATTGTATTTAATTACGAGTATATACAGAGCCAGTGAGAAGTGTCCGATAATATATATTTCTTCACTAGCTATGCTCGCGTCTTCGTCCACGTGGTATTTTTGATATTTATCTTGGATAGCATTGTTAATTATTTAGGCTAATTATAAATAGGCAAAAAATAAAAAATGACGAATTTCCATACAAACTTTCTACGTCTATTTTTATTTACGGGGGATAATTTCTTTGCAAACTTTGAATGTCATATTTATTTATATTTAATCAATAGCCTAAAATATATTTTGAAGCTTCTAGCTTGAAACATGTCGATAATACCAAACAACCTTTAAACTCCCCCTTTAATCCTTTTTTCGCAATAAAATTAACCTATATCCTTTCTCACGGTCTAGACTATCTGTGTACCAAATTTCATTTAAATCGGTTCAGTAATTCTGGCGTAAAAGCTCTACCGATGGACAGACTGGGTTCCTTTCGCATTTATAATATTAATGAGGACTTAATTTTACTCAAGAAAAATGTAGAGCTAGCCTATCACATTAAAACATTAGACTACTGTTATAAAAGCAACTAAATTTTGTATACCCAAAGGTAGTGAATAATGTCATAAAATATATTTCGGACATATTATTTTATAGACTTACATATAATATGTTTATTTATTCTTACACAATGTCATTAATTTATAAATATATCTTCATTTTACTCAACGAAAACGTTGAGCTGGGCTACCACATATAAAAAATTACAATACTGTCATAACAGCAGCTAAATTAAATATTACTGTAATCAGAAATAGAAATGATCTTTATTAAAATAAACCTTATATAAGCACTTTTTAATAGTTATATAATATTTTTTTGATTGGACGTCTTATTCGTAAAGCAGACGATCAAGAAGAATGGGCAACAAACTTGAATATTGTGAAACTACAACAAATACAAAATTGTATTAAAAAAATAAGTTTAAGTTTCTTCAAAACATAAGAAAAAATGTCAATTGTCAATTTTCCATTTTGTACATTATCCAAAATAACAACAGGTTTCTCTTTCTTTCACAGAAGCTCTGAAACTGTATGGAGACAGACTAACTGAATGGGAGAGGAACGAGATCAGGAAATACCCTGAGGTGTGGTTTCTGGGACTGGAAGCGAATAAGGTCCAGGCTAAGTCCAATCTACCCAACAACTGTGGGTTTGATGATGAAAACGGGAGTTACAATAAAGTAAGTAAACTTACTATATATATAGATATATCAATATAATATATGCATTTAATAATGTCTAGTAAGACAAAATAAATATTGTCTACTGAGCATTGCCGTGTCACCCCATCTTACATTTTCCTATTGTTATCAATACATCTATAATGTTCAATTTATTTGAGTTTCTTGCCAGTTTTTCTCAATTGAATCTGTATACTGAACTGGATGGTAGACAATTAATATTGATACAAAAAACTTTATGTTTGTAAGCGGCTAAAATGTCCAACATGAATAAATGATTTTTGAATTTGATTTAACTATTGTTTAACAGTTGTCGATTGTTATGTAACATTATTTCTGTACAAATACCAACATTGTTATGTAACATTATTTACCGCTTATAAATGTAATTCTTTTTAAATTGTAATATAAAAAAATTTACATTTATAAGCGGCTAAAATATCCCACTGAATAAATGATTTTACAATTTGAATTTGAATTACATTTTTATTCATTAAAAATTTACTTTAAATCTATAAAATCCTTGTCCAGGCAACCTAACATCAATGGTCAATTATAAAAGTAAATTAGTATTGACCGAAAATAAGATTACTCAAAGAGGCCATTTAAGTAATTGTGTATTACAGGAATAGCCATCCTTCGGTCGCTAATATAGTTTTTCCCGCAGACATCTTACACTAGGGACGGTAAACAGGGTTGCCAACCTCAAAAAGCTTAGTAAGAATTCCTAAATCGAATATAATCTCGCACATTACCTCAATTTGGCATTCTAGTTTCGTACATCATAGCACTTTGACTGATTTTCGTAAGTCTAAAACTGAACGCTTTTTATTAATCGAAATAGGTGTTATTTTGCGGAAGTCCATTTTCTTACTTAATGGATTTATATAATATTTTATTACTTACCTGTTTGGCAACGACACCAGGCTTCCAAGTTATCTCTAATCATTGCCTGATGATGTCCCGTTCAAAGGTAAAACACGTGTCGCAATAAGGTTGTAGACTCAATAACGGTCGGAATTTGGTCACCAATAGAGAAGGTCGTAACACTTCCAGAAGCGATGGTCAAGTTTCCGCACTGAATATTTGTTATCATACACATGTTAAGTGTAGCGGAATTAAATAAAATAATGTTATTCCATATAATTCGTACAAATTTGTGTGAGGATGAAAATATCCTCCTACAATAAATAATACATAAATATAAATTAACAATGGTAGATTTCAAATACTTAATCAGTTTAATCTAATTAGGTATTATTTTCCGGAAGTCCATTTCACTACTTCATGGATTTATATTATTTTGTTTAATTCTGCTACAATAACCATGTGTGAGACCACAAATCAGGAAACTTGACTACCGTTACGCCCTTCTCGAATGGCGATCAAATTCCGACCGTCATTGAGTTTACACTCATATTGCGACACGTGTACCTCTGAACGAGGCATCATCAGACGTTGAATAGAGTTAGGATATAGCTTGGAAGCCTAGTGTTGACTTGTCGGCAAGAGAAGAGTCAACACTAGTATGTAGAGTTTACTATAATAGATAGATATAAAGAGACAAAATCTCGTACAGATTTGTACAAGCCTGTAAACAAAGGTCAAAATCTTGTACTTGTTAGAATATCTCGTACAGTTGACATCCCTGGCAGTCGACCTTGTTTCCCGAAGCTCATGAAGTTACAGGGTAACATCCGCTAGCGTGTAATGAACTCACAGAAGGAAGTCTGGCCATCAGGATCACGATAAAACTTCCACCAATTTACTCGACTACTTGAACTGACATTTATTTTGAGACAGTCGTAACCTAGTTTATTACCCCGGCGTCCAAAGGTCATAAGTTCGAAAACGGCCGACACCAAAAACTTTATGTCGTCTTATATTTCTAATTGACTCGGCGATGATGGAAATAATGATAATATGAGAAATGACATGGCTCGTCCCTGTTACGTTTATTATATTTAATATATTGTTAATATTATTACCTAAGTACCAAATGTGGGCAAGTCTGACAACTCAATCAGGGATCTGTCTCATCACAAGAAGAATGAGCAAGAAACTTGGGTGTTGCTCTTTTAAAACTTTTTGTAACTTTTCATTTTTAAGTAGAAACGTGTGAATACAAACTACCAACTAGCACTAATTTATTGGGGTCAAATATTAAATGCAGAATAAAATTAAATCAGTCGTAGTGATTAGTGCAGACCAGTCCCTATAAGCACTTGTTCACGAGTATGACGCATGAGCCAGCCACTGCGCTTAACCATATTTTAGGGAACTCAATGACCTGATCACTATAAGTCAGGTAATAATGTACAACAAGAATATAAAAAAAAATCTATTTCGTATTTTTTGCAATATGCAAATATTTCAATTATCGTTTCTCATTCAGTCATTCCAAGTATATTTTTAACAACATAACAATCTTTCGTGTTGTGTGCAATACATCCAATTTTCGTTTTTCGTCCAATTACTAAGTGATTGAGAAAATCTGGGTCATCTTTTAACGTCTGTATCTTATGATCATCATCTGTTACATGCATGGAATGTTACGCCATACTACCTAGTTATGTAATAGAAACTATGACATTTTGAAACCCATGGATTTGTGATACCTTTGATTTTATGTCAAGTCATATAACAGTTATATGATATCTCTAAATTAAAAAAAAATTACAGCCAAGCTTAAATATACATTCCATTATGGTTGTATCAGGTCTTCAATGCAAAATAGGTTCAAATGCAGAATGTAGTTACCTAATAGTTGCATAGAAATTTTATACAAAAGGATGTAAAAAGCATTCTATTATACGAGTATTCTGCAGACTGAGCTTAACTCTCTTTGTCCCTAAATCCTATTCAGCTACTTTTTAGGTAAGTACATAATCTGAAGCTGGATTTTATGCAATTTTCTATGAATAATATAGCGCTTGAATGAAGATTTAAATTAAGTTAGATCTATTTTATGTTAATGCAGTAAATAGTCAATTTTGAATGAGACTAACTTCTTAGCATTGATGGATTTACTGTACATTTGTCGGGCCATCGTTTGGCAGGGAGGGAAACTCTGAGCAGTTACCGGGACTTGTGAACCGGGTTCTAGGCTTAAGGGATCCCTCTGCCGACGTACCTTCACCGCTCATCTTTCTCTCCCTACCCAGCCAAATCTGTTAGGAGCCTCCTAGTACAGCTTTAGATACACGTTCTAGTATAGAACATACTGCAGTTCTAGATAAGCCAAGATCTTTTAATAGATTATTGAGAGAATTTTCTGGTATAGCTCGCGCTCCCACTTTGATCGCATATAATTTATCCTCATAGTCATTTTTAGTGAATTCGTTTATTATTAGATATATTTTTTCCTAGGGTACTGTGAATTTTACCAGAATTATACATTTGGTTTTTTTTTTTAGAAATCAGGGATTTGGTTGATGAAATACCTTCATCCTCTGGAATTTTATTATGCTTTTCATAAGTGTCAATTAAAATAGTCCCGTCAGTCTCTATTTATGTTTTCCATTCCAATTATATAAAAAAATAGTATGCTGGCTGCAATTAGTATATTTGTACCAGGGGTCAGCTGTCTTGCGAGAAACCAGTGCTCTACTAAACTGGTATAATTTAGCAATCAGACGTTAGTGACAAATAATAAGAAATGTGAAAGAAGAAATGAGAAATAAAAGAAACTAAACGCAATACTATAGTAAATATTTCTCATTTGTTTTCAGCAAATCCACGACCACATAGCATATCGATACGAGATATTGGAGGTGATCGGGAAAGGCTCATTTGGTCAAGTGATCAGGGCGTTGGACCATCGCTCTGGCAGTCAGGTGGCGATAAAGATCATCAGGAACAAGAAACGGTTCCACCACCAGGCCCTGGTCGAGGTCCGGGTGCTGGATCACCTCAGACTGAAGGATAAAGACCAATCCCACAACGTGATACATATGCTTGATTATTTCTACTTTAGAAACCATTTATGCATCAGTTTTGAGCTTATGAGGTGAGTACTGTACATACATATGTTTAATTGAAGAACTTTTTTTTTATATAATACTAGTCGTGCCCGCGGTTTCATCCGCGTGAACTTTATAGGCTATGTGTTATTCTGATGCATAAGCTATATTACTGTAAAGTTACATCAAAATCCGTGCAGTAGTTTTTGTAATAAAAATAAAATTTGTTCTTTTTATTCTTTAAACTTATTTATTTGTATACTATTCCAGTATCAATTTATACGAGCTGATCAAAAAGAACAACTACCAGGGATTCAGTTTGAGCCTCATCAGACGATTCACCAGTTCGCTGCTTCGCTGCTTGAGGCTGTTAGAGGGAGAAAACATTATACACTGCGACTTGAAACCTGTAAGTATTTCAATACATAAAAATCATTTTAATTACCTTATACAGCGTTCGTTAGAAATATTCCACACTTTTATTTAATAGTTACTTACATAGTTTGAAAGTTTTGCAGATCAGACAAAATATTAACAATAATAGACATATAGTCATACATATATATAACACCTGAAAACATTAATATCCGGGAATATGAGAATATTATAATATTCTCATATTCCCGGATATTTCTTACTAGCCAAACTAATAGGAAATAACCGGAAAAATGAGAATAAAGAATACAAATTCTCATATCGTCATTTACACCCAAAAGGAGTGAAACATTAAAGATTTTTTTTTCAAAAATGAGTAAAAGATGAAGCTGTCTGGTAAACGTAAAAATATGCAATGACTTGAATGTTATATTATTGGCAATATAGAAAGATATAACTTGGAAAATGAGAATATTGAATCCAAATTCTCACACACATGGAAAATTTTTCAAGCACTATTAAATAGTTTCATAGACGAAGCAGCGGAGATCTGCTAGTTAATTTACAAGGTCTAACTGACATGTTTGCAGGAAAACATCCTGTTGAAGGCGAGAGGCAGTTCCTCCATAAAGGTGATAGATTTCGGCAGCTCATGTTACACGCACGCGAGGGTGTACACCTACATACAGTCGCGGTTCTACCGGAGCCCCGAGGTCATACTCGGGCTGCCGTACGGGACCCCCATAGATATGTGGAGTATGGGTGAGTGTTGTTTTCTTTTTTTTAATTTTAATTTGATTAGGGAGTTTTATCATAATATGATAATGCCAGCCCTTTCGTATATTATAACGAAGCGTATGTTCTACTGCACAATAAAAACAAATTGCTAGCCACGATATAGGATAATCATCATCATCATCATCGCAGCCCGGAAGACGTCCACTGCTAGACATAGGCCTCACCTAAAGATCTCCACGACGATCGGTCCTGCGCTGCTCGCATCCAATGCCTTACAGCGATCTTGACCAGATCGTTAGTACACCTTGCTGGAGGCCTTCCCACGCTGCGTCTTCTGGTCCGTGGTGTAGGATAATATATCCTATATATATAGGATAATATACCGTCGTAAATACCAACATCAAGCCGATTCAGTCCAAATTTCTTAACATACCTTTTAAGTGCGTTTGGACCTGTCTTTTTAGATGTATCTATATTATTTTGTTACACTCCGCTACCATTAGCATGTGTGAAACTACAAATATTCAGTGCGGAAACTTTATAAACAAACATGTTCGTGTACGGTGTGAGGAATCGAATCCGCGAGCATCGGATGGAAGGCGGTGTGCTAAAGCGATAGACCATTGAGACCGCAAACGTATCGTCTGCCAGCGTCTAAAATGAAAATATTTGGTATTCATGCACAAGCAGAAAAGAATATGTTTAATGTAGTAATTTACAATATAGAATAGAATAAAAAAATCATTAATTGAATATATCTTTATTGCTAACTGTGTGAGTACTTTTTTTTGTAGGTGGTATATAATATATATATCAACAGTTACACCTATTTATTACATATTTTTACGTTTTCCAATTTCCACCACATTTTTAAGTCCATACTAAAATACTGTAATAAATGTAGCTAACAGACCATCTCGATCACGTCGGTTTTGAAACAAAAGAATGGCCTGAAATCGGAACATTCGTTTGGAGCTACCATGGCACAGACACACAGACAAACTTGTATCATCCCTCTTTTTGCGTCGATATAATAATCGAGAAGGCCAATATTGCAAACTTATCTACTAATCAGAAAGCTATCTCATCACAAGAAGCATAAAAAATATAAGATTAGTATATACAGAAGTGTAGCGTCGGGCCTAAGTCCTTTGAAGATGAAGTCGTCGACATAATGTTTATTTTTAAAATTCGTCAGCATAATTCTAGAAACCATGAGAATACAAATATATAAAACCTACAAAAACATACACACACTCGAATAAAACACACGTATTTCACTCATCCAATATCAAAAACGTTAAAGGGTGATCTGCTAAATCATAAAATCTACATTTTTTATCCTTATCTAATCTACGTCGTTCAACCGAGACGGATAACGTTATTGGAGTGAGAATTGAATGATTATGTGGAAGGTAGTGTTACCAATTGTACGGAATTAATTGGGTTGTCCTAATTTTAAATTCTTCTGTTTTGTTTAGATCGGACGCAAAAAGAGGGGTGTTAGATGTTTCTGTGTGTCTGGCCATCTTAGCTCCATGGAAGGGTGCTGATTATTACCTTTTTACGGTTTTTGATTCCAAAAATAAAACTATAATTGTAAAACGATAAACATTTGCAATGGGCAATATTGTTGTTTTTTCTCTATTTTTATCCCCCGACGCAAATACACCCTTCGTGTTATAAGTTTCTATGTGTCAGTGCCATCGTAGCTCCAAAGGAACAATTAAACCGATTTTCATTTGTTTAAAAGTTGGCATAATCGAGATTATCCTTAAATATAATTATTAGATTTATTTTTTATTCGAAATATTTTTCTTTTTATAATTTATTACATCCCGAAAAGTTGACTATAAGAGTTGGTCAGTGTGTGTTTGTGTAGGTCATGGCTCCGAGGGAATGGTCCGATTATGAGCCAGTTTTATTTTATTTGAAAGCTGATATGATCGAGGTGGTCCTTAGCTGCAATTATTGCAGTATTTTCAATTTACTTAATTCTTTTATTTTATAACTAGCCATGTACTACTCGAGGCCAAGAAATCAAACAACACCGAACTGGATAATAAACAAAGATATATTTGGGTGTAAATCGAACCCAAAAATTACAATATTCCGTACAGTGGTATACTTAAAGAAAACGAAACTATAGCGCGTTGTACATTTCACCTAGCGCTATTTTGAGAACTTTAATTGATATTGGTCGAACGGGCCACTCGCCCCGGCTTCGCACGGATGTACATGTATTACATATATAAACCTTCCTCTATCTATTAAAAAAAACCGCTTCATAATCTGTTGCGTAGTTTTAAAGATTTAAGCATACATAGGGACAGATAGCCACAGCGACTTTGTTTTAAACTATGTAATGATTAAATTCCGAAAAGCTGACTATTAGAGTTGATTAGTGTGTATATCTGTGCCATCATAGCTTCAAAATTAATGGTCCAATTATGAGCCACTGTTATTTTGTTTGAAACTTGACGTGATCGAGATGGTCCTTAGCTTCGAGTATTTATTGTCTACCTAATTCTTTTATTTTATTATTCTTTATCAATTATATCCGAAAAATATTGTAAGAGTTGGTCAGTGTCGTGGAAGCTGATAATGCGAGTACGACCCATCGTTGCGTAACCTATGAGTTTGTAGAAAGTGGTCAGGAGAAAGGTGACCTCTGCCGCTCACATGCGCCGCCGACGCGCTGCGACCGGTCCGCTCCACCCGGACAATATTGACTATTATAATTAAATTAGGCTTTTTATACGCACACATTTATAATTACACAAATTTAATTTAATTTTTCTTACAAATTTTATTTAACACTAGCGGTAAATTATTTAAAAGAGCAACACACAAGTTTCTTGCTCGTTCTTCTTGTGATGAGACAGCTTTCCGAATGCGCGGTAGATTAAAAAAAATGTGATGACTATTCAAAAGTGCTTCAATGTAAATTTTATTTGAATTAATGATTTTCTATTCTATTCTATTCTATTCTGTAACCGCGACTTCGTCCGCGTGGAATTTAACTTTAACTTAAAGATTTTTTTCTAAAATAAAAGTAGCTTAAGTTACTCCTTATCACATCAGCTACATCAGGTTCAGCAATTTCACAGATTAGACAGAACAAACAGATAGACAGACAAAAATTAAAAATATTATTTTGCTGCATGTACCATACTCTTCCCGAAAAACCCCATGTTGTAATACACTACAACATGCGGTTTTTCGGGAAGAATATGGATAAAGATATGAATAAGGAACCTTACAGGTTGCTTAAGGGTCCGAAACGAGTACGTAATACTGATATTTATTATTATTATTCTTAGCGGATGCCTACGTCATGACATCTACGTGCATGTCAAATTTCAGCCCGATCCGTCCAGTGGTTTGGGCTGTGTGTTGATAGATCACTATGGCAGTCACCTTTGAGTTATATATATAATATTTAGATATACTTCATTGCATTTGTCACTATAATAAATAAAGATACTGAATATGCATAAAAAGTTAATAAAAATCGGTCAAGCCGTTTCGGGGGAGTATGGTAACTAACATTGTGCCGCAATTGAACAACTAAGCAGCTAGCACTGTAACATATTAATAACTGGCTGTACCCGACTTCGTCCGTATGGATATTAACTTTATTTTTCTAAAATAAAAGATTTTTTCTAAAATAATCGTAGCCTAAGTTACTCCTTATTACATCAGCTACCTGCCAATAAAAGTCGTAAAGAAAAATATTGCAAAAATGGATACAATGTGATCCAGACGTAGTTATACTGATTATAAACATTAATCAAAGAAGGGTATAGGCTATCTAACATCACACTACGACCAATAGGAGCGGAACTGTAAAGAAAGTACAACGGACTGTTCTGAGGGATTCGACATGATGCCTACGGCTACCTTTTACCATGACACCGCTCACCATCGACGCTGTCTAAGTGGTTTCGGATAGTGCGGTTTCAGAGGCGCTTTCTCCCGCGTACACTTAGATTGTGGAATGAACTACCTACCTGTTTTCTCAGGAGACTACAGCAAAGGGTTTTTCAAGAAGGGTATATGAAAGTGTTTCTTAAGGGTCGGCAACGCGCATGTAACACCTCTGGTGTTTAAGGCGTCCATAGGCTACGGTAACCATTTACCATCAGATGGGCCGTATACTTACGCTTGTTTTGCCACTATAGTATTATAAAAAAAAAAAGATAAATATTGCAGAAACGAGGAAAATACGACGCAGACAAAGTTGTGCAGGTCAGCTAGTTAATAATATTGGAGTCTGCATTATGATGTAAGATCATGTAATTGCCGCCGTGAGTTAATAAGATGGATTACTCTAACCTATGATTATACTGTCGATCTCGTCATATGGTTGCCTATTTAATATTCCATATACCAAATGATGCGGATTGCTATTATAGTTAATTAGCATATAAAATAAATGAACATTATTTAGCAAAAGCATTATTACTCAAGACACCGATGCGTTTACTAATAACTGTTTCGTTATAATCTAAAGATGGTGGTTAATTAAAATTGTTAGTCACTAGATATACGCTCCGGCTTTGCTTGAACTTAATATAAGAAACTAAACGTTAATTCTGACAACGTTTTTCAGTATATTTCTCTTATATGAAGATTTTATAACCCAATTTTTTCACTTTGTCGAATGATTTTGCAATCATGTTCTTTTATGTAAACCTTGTTATTTTAATGAAAGTTACGATATATTAAAGAAGAATTAGCCAAACATAGTATATATTTGGTAAATTCTTCTCTTTCTTATGATTTATATTTATATATAAATAAATATTTTTGGTTCAAGGTTGCATCCTTGCGGAACTCCACACTGGTTATCCGTTATTCCCTGGAGAGAATGAAGCGGAACAGCTCGCTTGCATCATGGAGCTGCTGGGTCCACCTCCACCGGATCTCCTGCTGCATGCGACAAGAAAGAGACTTTTCTTTGGTATGTCTCTGTCGTTTGATTCATTGATATTATCAGTTTTAAAATTAAAAGCAATTGACTAGTACCAACATATATTGGTATACTCAGTAATTACTATTTTTTTTATTGAATAAGTCACTATTCCGTATATGACTATTATAATGATGACCATAAAGACTTAGAAGGACCTGCTGTAGTATGCTAGCTGACATAACGTTGCTAATATATTATAGATGAAAATTTACTGTATCCCTGGTTTCAGCACCACTAAAACCCTCTGATTGATCCCCCGTCGAATTCAAACGGGTATCGATATTACGACCGCCTAAGCCGAGGTTAGAATCCCTAGAGGTGCCCTCAGATTAAAGTCGTATCCGTCAGGCGGGAGCTGGCCTTCAGCCGTTCCATAAGTCCTTCCGCGGGCTTGGAGTGCCATCTGCACTCGCCATCTATCGTCCGGTGAAGCTGTAAAGGCCAGTTGCGACCAACAGCATTAGAGTAGTCCAAAAAAAGTATGTTACAACGAGTATCATGTTATCCTATACACAATCTGTATTGTGTTGGATGAATAAATAAATAAAATAATAAAAGTCCTTTTTCTTATGAATTCTTTTGAAAACTTATATTCGAAACTAGAGAAATAGCAACAAATAAAATGTAGTGTAACAGTAGTGTATATATATATAATAGAAACTACAATGTGTACATAAATAAGATAACAAAAAGTAAAACAAAAGTATATTGCATAAGTGTATATTCAAATTTGGTTTTGATTTTGGTATCTAAATCTTAATTTCTACATAAATCAAATTTCGTAATCATTCTGTGCTATTATATTTCTGACCAGCTGTTCCCGCGACATCGTCCGCGTGAAATTTACTTTATTTTTCTAAAATAAAAGAATTTTTCAAAAATAAAACAATTTTTCAAAAATAAAAGTTATATTAGTTACTCCTTATTACATCAGCTACCTGCCAAAAAAGTCTCGTCAAAATCGGTCCAGCCATTTCAGAGATTAGCCGGAACAGACAGACAGACATAAATTGTAAAAAATGTTATTTTGCTGTGTATACCGTATTTATATTCATGTGCATGTAATAAAAAACGGTTATTTCAATATTACAAACAGACATTCCAATTTTATTTATATGTATAGATAAATTGCAAAACAGCGCCATCTCATAGCCGTTAAGGGAAACTCAGTCGCTTCGAAATCATGTTACTAGTTAGGCTATGATGAAATTAATTTAGATGAAAACCGATTTTAGTTTACGATTCTTGCGTACATCTTATAAATATTTAATTGAATCATGTTGCAGATTCGAAAGGCTCACCGCGCAGTATTACAAACTCGAAAGGGCGTAAGCGGCGACCGGCATCGAAGACTCTAGCGTCTGCCGTTAGAACCGACGACCCGGCATTCCTGCATTTCTTACACAGATGCCTTGAGTAAGTAACTATTTTATTACCCAGATATTCCTACATACCTTTACGGCTGCATGGAATCATTTATAAATTGCGTCAGACCAATTTCAGATTTCTTTTATTATGATTAGATGATCCCGCGTCCCCGCGAAGTCTAAAATTAGCCAAATTGATTCAGCCGTCCTCGAGTTTTAGCGAGACTAAATAGAAATAAACTTTATTCAAATAAACTCCTTACAAGCACTTTTGAGTAGTCATATTTTGATTCTACCTCTACTTTGAAGTCCTCATGCTAGTGAGCATATAGTGTATATTTGAAAATTATTTATTAGTGGACCGTTTCTTCTTCCTATATTATTTAATTTAATATTTAATTAAAAAAAAATACTTCTAAAACTTGAAAAAAATTGCGACCAATCTGAACGTTGAAATTTTTTCTCATAAAAAAGATTTTTTAAATGTGTTTATAAATGACGTATTATGAAGAAATAGAAATAGAAATAATCTTTATTCAAATAAACTTAATATAAGCACTTTTGAATAGTCAAGTTTTTTGATTCTACCGCTCATTCGGAATACAGATTCATCACAAAAATAATGAGCAAGAAACTTGTGTTTTGCTCTTTTTAATAGATATTTTTTATATAATAGTACTAACGAACAGCAATTCATTTATATATATATAGATATAGACTTTGAGCGCGGCTCCATTTGCATTTGTAATCGAGCGCGTTTGACTACAATCGCATTCGGAATCAAACCCGCAATCATCGGAAGTAAGGTGATGAGCTTATGTGATATCTATAATATAACAGTCAACATAAATTAGGGACTCCTTTTTATCTTTTCAGGATCCTAAAAGGCACTATTAAATATACACAGCAAGATGTTTCAAGTTAAACTTTATTACTTATATTTATTTATATCTTTCAGTTAACATTTAATGTTAGGTAATTCGTAGGCTCTTCATGCTATTATAAATAAAAACGTACAATTCACTTTCGCTAAAATAATTGCAATGTTTAGACACAATTCTATCTAATTATAAAATATCTAATTAACGCACTTTTGTTCTAAAAAGTGATCATATTTTAAAAAGTGATCAAGAGCGAGACGTTTTATTCGGTAATTATTTTCAAATAAACAATATATGTTCGTTGTGGTCTAGTGGTTTACTAGTCCGATTCACAAGCAAAGGGTAATGAGTTCAAATCTGGTCAACACAAAAATAAAATAAAATTTATATTTCTAACTGGCTCTCCGGTAGAGAAAAGACTAATATAAAGTCGAAATTGTATTCCAAAGAAGACGGTAGACTCTCCCCCTGCTATCCATAAAATTTGATGTCCTCGCTGGTCTAGCGGTTTAGCTCACCGCTTTACTTCCGATGGTCGCAGGTTCGATTTCTCGCATGATGCAAAAATTTGTATTCATGAGTATGATTGTTTGTATCTGTCTGGGTGTTTTCTATGTATATTATGTGTGTGTTTACAAATAATATGTAAGTATTTATATCTGTTTCTAGTACCCATAACACAAGCTCTGCTTACCCTGAGCACAGATAATATAATATTACATACCCTGAGACTTGATGACGCTGTGTTACTTGTCCAGAATTATTTATTTATTATTACTAGCTGACCCCGCAAATGTTGTTTTGCTATATAAATTAAAATCGTTTTAAAAAATACTTTTATGGCAATTTTTAATGCCACATTATAAATAAAAAAATTGACAGAAAAATATAGGGGTACCTTACCCTTATTACTTAGGGGTATGAAAAATAGATAGTAGCCGATTCTCAGAGCTACTGAACATGCATATAAAATTTCATAAAAATCAGTCAAACCGTTTCAGAGGAATGTGGTAGCTAACATTGTGACACGAGAATTTTATATATAAGATTTATCGCTTACCGTCTATTTATTACTTATCAGTAGGATGCCTACATAGGCCAGGTCAAAATTTTCCCACCTACCTAGTTACTTAATAACCATATTAGCGCTTAATTCTCATTTTATTTATGTACATTTTTGTACGTAAATAAAATTGCAATGTCACCAATCCCATAGAATGTTATAGCGTTTCAAACACGGAAATGTTTTACGAATCAAGGTGTGTTTGATGTGATTATGTTAGGTATGCGTAGACGCAACACTTATGTAATATGTGAACTCTACATTATACACAGGTCATATATCATATATATTTATGTATTTTTTTCTATAAAAGGAGTTCAGGTAAAAAGAACCTGTAGCACTGTGGTCTGCATAGATCTACTGTGCTCGCCCTTTTATAGAGCTGCTTAGGCCCGTCAAGGACGAGAATTTAAGGATATTCTTAGGAATAGAAGGGGTTCAGCTACGTGCTAAAAAGCTATTCTTAATAACGATAGTTTTTATCTCCTCAGGATAGAGTGGTGTTTTCTCTTATACTTGGCAACATCTGCTAATTTTTGTTACGCCTAGGCCTAGGTTTGCCATGTGTTTATTTAATTTAGGAGCGATGGTTTTTATCTCCTCAGGAGAGTGTAGAGTGTACACTTTACGAAGGACATATTTCGTTTATGCTTGTAGAGTTAACTACATAGGATGTGTAGTGGTGTTTCCTCTTCTATTTGGCAAAATCTGCAAATATTTGTTGCGCTCAGGCCTAAGTTTGCCATTTGTTTATTTAATTTCCAGTGACCAGTGAGGGCCTTAGTCATGATGCATATATTGTTTTTACTCAATAGCAATAGGCTATTAGAGTTATTAGGGTTTTTGAATGTACTAATCCTGGCATTACAAATAGTACTAATTCAGGCAGGAAATGCCAGTGATTTAGTGCTTCCCGTTTAGTTATTAATTTTGAGATGTTAAGCTATATATATATATATTATAATAAAGGTCGTAATGCTTCCAGTAGCGGTTCTCAAGATTCTGAACTGAATATTTGTAATTCCCACACTTGCTGCATGGTAACAGCAGTAAGTAAATTAAAAATATCAAATTCAATATATCTTTATTCATGTAGGTCTATTACAGACTCTTATGATATGTCAAATCTACCGTCAGTTCGAAATTATTTCGAGATAAGAACAAGAAGTAACAAGAAACTCAGCTCGTATTCTTTTCAAATAAATGTTGTACATGTTTACAATAATACAGATTCATTTCTAAATTCAAATTTGGGAGAATAGAGTGACCACCAGCATATGATATTGCAAAAGCAAAAAGTCTAATCAGTGTTCGTAACTTGAACAGACCAATCCCCAAAAGCAGCACCCGTTCATACATATGACGGATTAAACAAAATAGTATAAATCCATTAAGTAATTAAATGAACTTCCGCAAAATAATCACCTAATCCGATAAAATATATGATCATGTAATGCCTTGCCTTATTATGCCTTGAGGCCCTAAAATTTTGCTGTCAAGTCTCAAACCACTCAATAGGTTTTAAAGACGCTAGGGGCAAAATTGACAGCCTCAGTGAAGTAGTGATTGAGTACATCGCTTTACTTCCAATGGTTACGGGTTAGATACTTGCACGATATAATTTTTTATTTTTTTATTTTTATAAGTCTTTTTCTATGTACAAGTTTATGTATTTAATAATAATCACAATTCACATAGCGTTATTTGGTCTCCAGCCAAGCAGAGTTTGTGTTATGGGTACTAGACAACTCATGTAAATACTAAGATACATTTTTTTAAATACGTACATAATATACATAGAAAACACTCAGATCGATATAAACAATTATACTCATTAATAGAAATGCTTCCACCGTGCGAGGAATTGAACACGCGACCATCAGAAGGAGTCTGCTATATCGCTGGACCACCGACGTCGTCAATTTGGACGACTCCATTTTTTTTTATTTAATCCAGGACTTAGATATATCCGTTCATTTTTTTATAGTGTAAATTAAGTAATTATAGGTAGAATTAGGTGTAACTAATTTTAATTCGAAATGATTTGTGCTATCCGCGACACAGATGTCAACATAGCAGTTTCTATTTTTATGTAACAACTTAATATGTTTGTAGAAAGTATATAAAAAGAACTCGTTTCTTTTAGATTACCGCCGGTTAGGTCGTATATGTTAAACAATTTAGTTGTAACTGTTTTATTAGTCACCTCGTGGCGTAACGTTTTATTGTAACTACTTAGACTTACGTTACAGTACAGTGCAGCGAAAATTTCGCAATAATCCGTATATAATAGAATCCAGGACAATTCACACAGCGCCATCTAGTCCCAAGCGAAGCTTGTGTTATGGGTAATAGACAACTGATAGAAATATATTTATTTGTAAATACATACATAATATACGTAAAAATATCCAAATCAATACATGCATAGTTAAATATAAATGTTGGCATCGTGCGAGGAATCAAACCCGCGATCATCAGAAGTAAAGCTAAGCCGCTGTGGTCTGTACCACTGTTGCTGAGTATTTGTATTTGTTCGTTGTGTTTGTCTGTGTGATCTAAGGGTTTTCTATAAATAATATGTATGCATTTACAAAAAAAATATCTAAGTGTAACATATAACACATATAAGATATAACAGTTATCTTGTATCAAAAACACAACCTCTACTTAGCTTGGAACTAGATGGCACTGTGTTAATTATATTATTATTTACCATAGAAAAGTGTACGGGTTACTTTTTGTGTCACTCTATCATATGTCTATATCTGGACCGTTTCTTCTTCCTATATTAATTAATTTAATATTTAATTTTAAAAAAATACTTCTAAAACTTAAAAAAAATTGCGACCAATCTGAACGTTGAAATTTTTTCTCATAAAAAAGATTTTTTAAATGTGTTTATAAATGACGTATTATGAAGAAATAGAAATAGAAATAATCTTTATTCAAATAAACTTAATATAAGGACTTTTTATTCTATAAGTCAAGTTTTTTTATTCTACCGCTCATTCGGAATGCAGACTCATCACAAGAAGAATGAGCAAGAAACTTGTGTGTTGCTCTTTTAAATAATAAGAAGATAAGTTGAGATAAGAAGTAACA